TATATATATATATATATATATATATATATATATATATAGTGGGGGTTTCATTCCTGTATGTGAGGCTGTAGAATTATCCTTGAACCATAGCCTTGTGTCTCAGTTTTGGCCTTCGTCCGTCTGCGACTGTAGAGTAATATTACTTAATATGTTGTTTCCAAGGTATTGTGCATTCAACTAGCATGTCACAGAATGCTAATTTTTGGAGAGTGAAGTCACTTGTTGACGAACAACCCACACAGTCCTTGTATTGCAACACAGGTAGCCCGTAGTTTGCATTTATACACACGAAGTCACATCTTTTATTTTAAATTGCTCGGTAATGAGTAAAATGGTTGCGATTCATATTGGATACTATTTTGACTTTTCTATCAGGACCTCGCAGACGAGAAACCGGACGGAGATAGAAGTGCCGTGCCTGCTTGTACAGAATCTGCTACAACAGGTTATTCGGCCACGGAGTCAGACGACTTAAAGCCAACAGAGCCGACTACCCAGTCACCGCTAATCGTGGTCACGAGAAGTGGGCGTCAAGTTCGACCTCGTGGTGATGCAGCAGCGGTGGCAGCACTAATTCCACCAACCCCATCTTCCATAACAAAAAATGAAACTGAGCTAGCTGCGCTGATGGAAGCGTGTGAAGAGGAAAACGATCGAATTGCCGCTGAGTGTGCAATAGCTGAAGCGCAGGTGGGTGCCCTGATGGCTTTCACCGTACTTCCGTTTTCTGTGCGGTCTTCCTAAGGAACGCATGTGTCCGTTCCGCTCTAAGTTTTCTGCTTTATAGGGTAGCTAGATTTAGCATGGCATTGCACAATGTGTTTTTGGAGATTGCTCACCAGCCATGTCTGTGTTGTCCTTTTCCAGAAGTGAATCGTATGAATCTTCAGGATTCTGTGTGGGATTCAGCCTTTAACATGCACTCCAAAATTCATTTCCATCTGTATTGCACCGTATCCTGGGATGTGGGCTACGTGGAAGCTGCCGGACCTCTGTGAGGGTGATTGTTCGCTCGATTTTGCATTGGCTTCCTGCCTAGTTGCGACGGACAAACCATGGTGATCTTCCAGTTTCACATGTGCCTTTTGCACACGCACTCGAATCAGCACACAGGAGGTTCGGCCATGTTAATGCCTGTTTTGGTGGCGCATCTGCCTGCGAATATAAAGATCACCATTGAAAGCGTGGTTAGGCGTTTATGGGTCAGAATGTGGACTTAAGATTTACCTGTTTGGCAAGATACTGTCGCGCTAAACAGTGTTCACTACTTTCCAGTGAGCTAACACTTTATGCGGGCGGCTTTGGTGAACGGGACGTTCTCTTTGAATTTTTCTCTAAAGGGGCACAGCCCGTCAAGAACTAAACCTGAATTAATTTCCCGATCCGAAAACGTCCAAGTGACTCTCTTGAAGAGGAAACCTCGCAGTTCAATGCTCATCGCCATTCGCTCAAACTTGACGGCTGACAGTCACGTAAGACGGCCATTGCTGGTTACAGCATTGAACTCTTGTTGACTGGACTTAAACCTGCCACATTGGCAGTTTGGAGCATATCACAATGTTGCACTCATGATTGAGAGCATCAGTGTTAGGGAACGCCTCCGACTTCACCAGAGACACCTTGCGTGATTTTACTGAATCCCTGGGTTTCGTAATATTTTCTTCCACTATTTGCCGTCTTTGGCTACCGTGAGTTTTGGCCTAGAGCGGAACAGCCGGCTGAGCACCATGGTGGAACTTGCGCTACCACAGAAATATGGTAACTTAATATTTACATTTTTCATATTTCTGAACCCATTACTCATACTTTGTATGCGGTGACGAGATGTCGAAGTTACTGAACAGCTCTCGTTTGGTACCTATTTTTCTAACCGCCATTGTGACCGTTAAATTTTCTGTGATTCCAGGCCGACTTGGCAGAGTTTGATGAAACTATACCTCTTGAGGAGCAGCGGGCTGCAGATACCGCGTTGACTACTGGAACAGTTAATCCTGTCACGGCGGAGTCTGATCCACTCACAGTGTTTGCTATGAAGAAACGTCAAAGGGAACAGAAGTCTCCGGAGCACAATGAACAGGTTGATTCCGAGCGGACAGGGGTGGACAGCATGGAGCAAATTGTTGAAAGGGAGTTGCTCGAATTCGAAGCTACTTTGCGACCAATCGAACGCTTCGGAGTACACCATTTGGAAGAACAGCGCGAGGAGGTTTTGAATGAGGAACTGATTCTGGCAGATGTACGTTTTACTTCGTTTATTTTTCACTTTTTTTCCTTTCGGAATTTATTTCCACTACTGGCAAATATTTGAGCCGGTGTAATACATTCATCATTTTGCATCCCACCAAAGAACGTTCTTTTTCTCTTAATAGGCTCAGTTGTCAGAATCCAATGAAACTTGGCGCCTTGACCAGCTGAAGGCTCTACACGTTGCTGACGAAGAGCGTGCCGATGTTGAAGAAGATGATATGCTCTACTGCTATGGTACATACGACCCATCTGCTCAACTGGCCGAGTTGCAGCGCCTTGAGCGACTCATTGCGGAAGAGGAAGCTGCTGCTGACAGCTCTACGACAACTCCAGGGCCACGTGGACGCAAGTTACGCACTCCGAAAGTCGCGTCTGCAAAGAAACGTGGACCAGTGCGAGCGGAAGCTACACAGTCCGAATCCGATTCGCAAACCACAACTGATGCGACACCTGTTAACCGGGGAAGTAGTCGGCACGAAATTTTACCCGGTTATGTTGAGAACAGCGAGAGTGAAACGGATGATTATGACGTTTCGGTCAGCGGAGTGAGTTGGGAATTCCACACCACTTACATTTGCTTACTTCGCTTACGTTTGTCTGAGTTATAGCCTCATTTGGAATCCGGATGCTGATTTAACAATCGGACTTTATGAACTTTCGAAGCTAATATTTGGGGCTCCTCAACTCTCAATGGATCGACCCACATACACGTGATACCCTATTCTGATTTGAATGAATGAACCGCTTTCACAGGAACGGGAATCGGACGTCTTCATTGAGTTCTATGAGAACAAACTCTAGTCTTAGGCTGAAAACTTGCAATTCAATAAATCCACAGTTTCCTTGGCATCAGCTACTGTGTTGATTTCATACGCCTTCTTTGTGACATTTAGCAGTAGAGGAAATCCAACAGATCTTTAATCCATACAAGTTCGAAGGTAGTCATCAACCTTGTAGTCATTTATGAGCGTGCTGTTTGGGCTATTTTTGTGTGCACATTCTTCAGGGATCACACTTTTAAGATGAATGTATTGTCACTTTCGATTGATATACTTGCCATCGTTTTCTCGTTCTGCATGGATACTGTACCATCAGCCCGAAAATGAGTTGTCGTTTATTTGTTGGTTCATTTGCTCTACTGCTTTCTCCTGTTGATCTGAAAACCTCACTTTTTCATCATCGTCATCGACAGCATGACATCAGTGTTCCACACCGATGCATCGCTGCCGTACAGCCATGATTTAATTGAAAGCCTTATTGTGAAGGAAAGAATAAAGGTGGACGGGGAAGCTACTTAGTGTGTGTCCACCACACTTCACGGCTGGCTTGCAGGCTTACTTTCACTTGACGTCTGATAATGTAGTAACGGTATTTTTCTCATCTTAGTTCTCGGTCTGAGCCTCCCAATTTGGCGTTCAAGTCAAAACAATCACCAAAGGTGCACAAGGTATATTAACGCCCAAAACAAAGTCAGGAATACTTTTACAGCGCTTCATATGTGTAGCGTAGTCGGAATAACTTTCTGGAAATTCTGACGCCTTCTGGATGCGGCATTGGCAACCGGCATTCGACCAATTCTGAGTCATGATTGGCTGTTGGGTTCACACTTTCGACCAATCAGATATAGGCTTGATTGCGGACTGGCAAGCGTCCCGAACTTTTGGACAAACTTGCGTGGAATGGGCCTCGGCCGTAGCAGCACCTGACTGAGCGGTAAATTGGGATCCTTGTGGAACTCCACCTAACAGATAGTTCGTCCCATCAAGTTATGTTCGGGGCCAGTGGGGATATTTTTCCGAGATTTAAACAGTACTACTATTCGGTCTGATATCCAGTGCTTGCGTGCGCCTAATAATGCCGTGCCACAGACAAATTTCGCAGCACTATGTAAGTAGTCGGCGATCTAGTCCCAGTATGAGTTCACATCTGATGGTGGGGCTTTTGAAAGAGACTAGAAGACGATTCTGGTAAGTTTGTCTAACATTCGGATCTGCCAGTCTTTCAGGTACCAAACCATTTGTCCGCACCTTACGCGGCCCTGGAAAACGTAGGGGAAACGACTCCGGATAAGCGCTCGGTCGGAATCCACAAATGTGTTTCAAAACGACCGGCAGTCAGTTATTGATCCGCGCCATCAGTAACTGACGTCAATGTGGTCGATCTGAGTTTGTCGCCGCCCTGTCTTTGGAGGACACCATGTGATCAGGCGAATTCGACTACTTCGGAAGTTAATACTGCATGAAAACAGTCTGCGATCAGCACACAGCTGAATCAATCGTTCACCATTGTCCTTACGTTCCGAGTCCAATTCATGTCGATTTCCTAACTGAGTCTCAGATGTGCTAAGTCTGGCCACTTGTGCATTTGAATCTTCGGCAACCACCACGATTTCTGAGCTTTCAGCTCGCCGCAGCAAAGCATTCTGGGTGTCATAAAACCTGTCCTTGATTGCGTCGGAGCTACAGTCAGTTGGGGCATAGGCAGACACGATAAACAGACATCTATCAATTTGCCGCTTGTGAGACCCCTTCACAGACGTTGCCAGACGAACCGCACAGCGGCGACTATCAATAGGGATCAGGTCAAGCAAGGGTACTTCCGCCCGGTGTCTTAGGACGACACCAACTCCTGCACACCCCGCTGCAGCAGCCTCTGGATCACCAGAGGTACGTAGCTGGAAGCGAGTGGAGACTAGTGGGGCGGTTAGTTCAATCACTGTGCTTGCATCTTGAATTCTCGTTTCTGAGAAATGTCCGCTACAACAGCACACATCAATGCCAAGCGAGTCCTGTGTGAGTGCAAGAGCAGCTTGTTGTCCTGCTTGCTTCAGAGTGCGAACATTGAACGCGGCCAGATAGACTGGGTGTCGAGGCTTGAGGACTGATTTGGAGATTTCTGCAGATGTCGGTACCATGTGACGATCAGATGCTGCACGTAAAACCGATGCATGACGGAGTCATCAGTCCTAAGTGCTGGGCCTACAAGGAGAGAGTTATTAATGGGGTGGGGAGAGGGGGAAGAAAAAGTATATGAAGGAGAAAGAAGGGAGGCATCAGCAGTAGCCTGTTTTCGCTTACCCGCCCTGCTGTATGCAGCAAGTAAGGCGACCCGGCTGATGGCACCACGCGACGGCCTATGTGGCATGAGAGTATTGTTAGTTGTACGTGGGTTGTGATACTGAAGGACGATCAGGGTCCTCAACCAAAGTCTTCGGCTCAAAAGCCCAACCGCAAGATAGCTGTGTTTGGCGGGAAATGCAAATGCATTTCTACGGAACAAGTCGCCACATGCACCAACCCCCAACCTGAAGGGCCAGGAGACTGTGTTCATCAGACCTCTAACCATTGATCAACCTGGTATGAAAGACTGTGAGTGTCGCGGGGACACCCCACACTATAGCTCAATGGGTCGCTGAGGTGCGCAAACCGTCACACCACAGTAAGGCCCAGTCTGACGGCGTAACGGCTCCTCAATTGCGTGTCTCACTGCTTGATTAGAGAACTAGAGGAAGTAACAGGGCAGCAGTATCTCTTATTCGATTTACCGGACTGAAGTGTCAGTACACGGTAAGCTTCGGTGCTCGTACCCTCGAGACTGAAAGTTTTTTTTCAGTGAGTGACATGTTCATCGAAACGACTGCTTCAGGAAACGTCGGATATCGCTTCTAGAAGCATTGATTGGATCTGACGATACTGTGAAGGATGTGTACGATGGTTACCTGGTTGTGGACGTGAATTATCAAGCCTCTTTCTGCCGCCTTCCGTCCGAAGCTGTTTCACTGGTACACTAGTATAGTGATCACTTCAGCTCGTGTGCGACCACCCTCACCTAGCGCCCTCTATCCGGATATCTCTACTAAGTCTGAAATTGGATTGGTTGTTCACCAGGGAGGTGCTGATCTTTTTGTCAAGCGCGCCTATTTAGCCTAGCTAAGGGCGTTGGAAATTCTTTAGTTTGAGCGACTTCTGCTTTTTGGACATTTTATTCCGTGTCCTTTACGTCACGTCCTCCGGAATCACCCACTATGGCCAGCAGATATGGTGCATTGTCGTTTTGTTGTTGTGCGTAGCTGAAATTAACCGAAAATATATTCTAGTTATGGTGGCCTAAATAACACTACTTTTCACATCCAATGGCTTTCTCGTTGCAGCTGTGAACGATCGCGGCACTTTAAATGCCTTATTTTTTTCATAATCCTACCTTTTTCAGAAAAGTTCAGCGTCTCGTGCTGCTTTGAACCACTACTATCGCAACCGTTACGTGACGCGACAACCCGTCCAACAGTGGGAAAACTTTGAACCTGCTGACCAGAGTACTGGTGGGTACCAGTCCAGCGATACAGATTGGGGAATTCGGTTTGTGACATCCGAGCCTCCTGTAAACAAGCGCGAACAAACCATTTCTGGCAAACGTCGGGCGCCATCGATGAGTTTTCTGCCTCCTAGCAAAATGCCTAAGATGACTCCCAAATTCTACCTCACTAGCAATGCAGTTGAGGAACAGGCGCCTCCGATAAAGCGCCGTAAATCGCTATCCACAGAAGCGACACCCAAGCACATCTTTGTTCGGACCAGTCACTTCACTTCAGATGCAGGTATTCAAAAGCGATCCCCATCTGTCCTAAGTTGGAATGGTAGTTCACCAGCAACTCACTATGAAAATGAAACTGTTCGCACAAACAATGTCCTCAACGAGATACTTGAATCACCCTGTGCAAAACAATTACAGCCATTTGGAGACCAATTTTCTTTTGGTGGGACAGGTAGAGGAAGAGCGCTGCGTGATGCGACGACAGTTCTCCACTCGCAACGTGCACCCCAACCCAGTTCCTCGAAGACAATCCCGCGAATATTCAAAGCTTCAGTTCATAGTGGCATGGTAAGCACATAAAAAAGTCGACATTATTGTATGCTGTCCCTCTGGTTAACGCGTGTCAATACTAGGAATCCCAACATACCCTCAATAATAATGTCTGTTTATTACGTGAGCTGGAGCCTTGGTCATAAATCATCCAGAATAGTTCACCTGACAAAGTAATGCCCTGGAGTGTCGTTTTTTGATATGATTTTAACTCTCCTCAAACTTGTTTATACCTCAGAGTGCAAACTAATGAGCGTCTCCTCGAACTCCATTGGATGCCTTCTCCTCTACTCCCGTCATCCATGGAACTGGTAGTCCTACTAACACATTACCCTGCTGTTCACTTAGTTAGCCCCAGGCGCACAACAATAACGAGCGGCTTAGCATCTCTCCTTCGAGATGACAGTATTGCGTCTACTTGAACCGAAATTACGCCTACATGGAGCTCTGCCGACATCGTTCTATAGTGGTGACAACAAATGCCGTAGGTAGTTTTTTCAATGGCAACTTGTTCAGGACAAATCATCTTTCCAGCAATACGAACCAATACAACTTCATGAAATGATTGTATACGTTTGCAGGGGTGGATTGCACAGCTGGTCCACAGGGAATCTAGGCTTGTCATCCAGAGTCGTGGTATTTCGAGAAAATCTGTCCACAGCCGGGAGAACAATGATGACTGGCGTTCAGCGTACAGAGGCAATCAGCACGCGTACGGTAAACCTCCGTACAAACTCATAGTGTAAAGCACGATACTAAAAGCAGATAACCTTTCGGATCATGTCAAAGAAAGAAGTATGCCATATCTCCAATCGGAGGGTCCTACACGAAGTGCGACCTGAATTTTGTCGACGGCAGAGGAAAATCCCTCATTTGTAATACCGCTGTCGTTGTACAAAGAGCGCCTCTTGTTCCACTTGTGATGATATTCAAAATTTCCAGGTGTTTTCCTTGGCATGACACTATATATGACACATGAAAACCTTCGGGCAACCCGCTGACGGTTCCAACTGAAGCGTAAGGCGGCCTTTGTGCAGCACATTCAGCTATGGAACAGCATTAATGGTAGATTCAGCTGAGGCTTCTGTTAATACCATCTGAGTTTACAAATAAATGTTTGTCAACCCACATCCAGTTTGGTGTTGTGGTGCAAGGTAATTTGGCGAAAATTCGAAAGGATTAGATCAGCGTGGTGAGCTCCCAAAGGGGTGAAACCGGCAGTGAATTGTTCAGGAGTTTTCATCAATCTTACGAGTAGTGTCACGTTAATGGAACTAGTCAAGCAGGTTTGATGGGCGACGTTGTGATTCACTCACTGTATATCGCTGCTTCAAGCACCTACCTCCAAACCCAGTGTGACATCATCTGCTTCAGTCTCCCTGGGCTAACAACTGTTTGAAGATGGCAGCAACTCCACAATCAGGTTATCGAAAATATTTGGCTATTGTACAGCAGAACCAATGTTGTCCTGCAGAACCTAAAATGCATGTATACATCAACGAACAAGAAATTGTTCCTGTTGTCCCAAATACTCCTGTGAAAGTTCTTCGTTAGGACTGTACTATGCTGTCGCGATATAAACAGACAGTACAGCTGCATAGAGTTCTCGCGTGTTTTGTAGAGCCGACTCAGAAATGGTTGGGGATACAGAATCAAGAGACAGAGCATCAAAGCTTGAAATGCCTGACTGATAGTGTCACGAACCGTCCGACTTCACAAACAAGGTGGACGAGCATGTATTTTCCATTGGTGTATTCTGGCAACACGGTTGTTTCGAGCTTATCGTTGTTGTATAACTATCCTAACTCCTCGGAACTGACGTTTGTCAACGTTAATCATCTTGGATTTTATGGTGCTTATGTTCGTTGTTCTGCTTCTTCTGGAACCCAATTGGGTTTAGCCCTTTGTTGCTTTTCAGAAATCGATATCCGGAACCAGTCAATCTCTCAGTATGTCTGCAGGACACATGACCCCATCCTCTTCACAAGCCCCGAATCTAAACCCATCAGCCCGTCAACCCGGTCCATGCGGTTCCCTCCTGATCTCCAATTCCAGTACTCAGAATGTCCCCGCCTTTGCTATACCTGCTCAGTTTGCCCCATCCAGCCGTAACGTTCTCCCACCCACGACACAACGCCCACCGGAACCAGTTTTTCCCGTTCACTCAGTCTTGAACGGTACACGTGTGAATCTCCCTGCGGGGCAGCTTTTCACTACAACAGGACAACCTGTGTTTGTTATCACAAGACATATGAAAACAGCTTCCGGCAAGTCTTGCTGCTTATCTGTCTATTTCGATTTTCTGTAGACATCAGCTTCTTTTAGATTTTCCCACTCGACGGTTCGTTCATTCCACTTCATAGATACTATCCACAAACCGTGCTCTAAAACGTCGCACTCCAAAGGACGTTTCTCCTGGTCTTCCAAAGTTCTACCAAACCTGGTCCATCGCCACATATTCGTTTGCAATCCTTAAAATTCTCATCGTAATGTTGTGGGGTCGATTGACTGCTGCGCTTTCAGTTGCTGTGGTTAATACATCTGTCACAAAATCTCAGTGTAGGAGCTCCTGCTCGGTTGACGAGAATGGTTGGAAACCTGTTGATTACACGTACTTACGTTTCCGTTGAGATGTTCAAGACCACCCCAAAGAGGATGGCCACATTGTTTTATCACTTGTGAAGTAGTGCAGGATGCTATCAATGAGAACCCACTCCTGAACAGTTACACTCTAACTGCAACCAGAATATAAGAGCGCTTGAAGGAAAGAAACTCGAACTTTTTTTTAACGTACCGCGAACACAAAACTTTTTCGATCACCATTACACAGGTCCGTTCTGCTCGGACACAATCGCTTAGAAATTTTTGATCAGGTGGCTGTTGTTCTGTTCGCCAAACTTGACAGTGGGCTTGCAAACGTTTTCGTCACCATTAAGGGCCAGTACCAGTACGTGGTCAGATGGGTGACTCTTCCAGTACTATTTGTTTTTACAACTTGTTCTTACTTGATCTGTCATTTGAGGTATGGCCTTCGCGAAGCTTGATTGATTCATTTTTAATTTGCCTTGCGTTGCCGTTGACTCCTTTGCTTCTGAGTGGTTCGTTAAACGCCTTATTCCGATTAGCCCGTTTGCTCTTGTACTGTGTTTCAGTCTGTCCTCCCTTCATTTGGTTGGTACATTGGTTTGGCTTGAAAAGACGATGGTGTTCCTACGGAGGAGAATTTTAGTAGCTCAGGTAGCATAGATGGTCGTTGGTTTGTTCGCTGAGCTGGGCAATTTGATTGCAAACGTCTCATCAATCGAAGTGACATCATTAGTGCGTTGTTAGGGAGCGTGGAGCGTACCGATGGGTTGGTGATGACACGTTTGCAATCAAATCACCCAGCTCAACGAAAAAACAATGACCATGGTGTTCTTAGTTTCTTCATCGCGTAAAATAGTGTTGTAGCTAGGGCGTGTACTTCAAAAGGACAAAGCATACGGCGAGTAACGTTTAAAAAAGCACCGAGGCCTTCTTCTTAGAGGTCATCGCTTGCCGAGTCATCCCAACCAGCATACTTGGATGTTTGTTTCATTTTTGAAAGGCACGTTGGTCAGGTCCAATAGAAAAGAATGCCGTGCTAAACACACGTGAGGCCGATTGTTTTCGATACGCTGAGTAGGACCACCTAAATGTCATGGCAAATATATCGGTTGCCCCTCAATAAATTGTTCTCGGTACAGACTGTTTCTAGTTTATAGGTCTTCACTTTTCTGAACTACGGCAGTGAAGCATCAGTGCCAACACTGATGTTGCTGTCCTTGATGATGATGACTTTTCTGAACGAATTTTCACCGGTCAGCCGAACAGGTGAACAATATCTTTTACGATGCGATAAATCTCGCAACTTACCTCTGGAAAACACCTCGACAGATCTTTCCCAGGAAGGTTTGTTCCACACATCCTGCACCGTACCAACTTATTCTAATCCTGCGGATAGTTTTGCCTATGAAGTTCATGTTGTTCGCGACCGTTTTTCATGGTGATGAGTCACATGTTCTTACTAAATTAGTATCGTAGCCGTTCATTTCTCTTTTCCCAGTTAATCTTGATGATTGTCTTCGTGTGATTTTCCGGTTTTAATAAAAAGGGAGGTTTATTTTCATCAATTTTTTTCACTTATAGGTGAGGTGTACCAGCAGCGTTTCACACATCCAGTTGTCCCTCCTCCTGAGTTCACTCAGGTAGTGCATCGCCTTGCACGTCCCTCAGAACCCTCCTACCGCCCCACGATACCTACAGTCACGAGTTCTTTCTCCCCACACTCCAATGTGAGGATCATCTCATCACAAGTGTCGTCAGGCGAGTCTCGACTGCCTGTTCTGCGAATCCTGAGTCCGCACAAAGGCGTCCAACCGAAGTCGGTTGTCCCAACCATCCCTCAGATGCGTGGCCCAACGACCACTGTTCCAGCGCCTCGAATGGCACCCAGTCAGACAATACCAACCATTCGGATTGTAAATAGTGACACGGTACGCACGACTCCCATTCTACGACTAAGTTCTGCGGGTTCTCCCATCGCACGAGCACTTCAGGTTCCCAACCATGTGGCACCCACAACCAGCACCATTTTCCAACTGAATAGCATCCCTACAATTGCCCAGGGATCACCTCTCCCGAATGCGCACGTTACTCAGTCGTCTCGTACTACTTTTGATATCGCAACAAAGCACCCTGCCGCAGAGTCTCAATGATATTACGAATGTGACTGCATGTCTTACACTATCAAGAATGTATTTAAGCATTTTCTACCCCTTTCCAGCATTCTACGGTACTTCCGATCTTTGTATATAACCCGCCCAATGGTTCCCCCATGAGTTGTACACACAAGGTCCTTCAATTGACCCATACTCGTTTGCCTACTTATGATTTTTCCACTTGAAAGATTCGACCAATAGATGTCCGCTTTTTGTAGCAGCTTGTCCATCCGCGTACTTCGCTACTTATTGGGTTGTCTCCTGAATTCTGTTTGCCCTGTTCTACACTTTGGTCCTTGCTTTACGACATCATCCTGAGGGCTAGAGCGTCCTCTTCCTGAACTCATCAATAGGTATTAGCGTTACCATTCAAGAACTACGTTAGTGAAGAGTGAATGCTTTGGTGGATTTCAGCAGCCTGCGGAACGAACATTAAGATATAAATGGTTCACGATCCGAACCACCTCTTAAGGAAAAAATATCAGAATCTGACGTAATACGGATCACCGTGTCAGGAAGGATCGTAACTACCATTCCTACTCAGCTCTTGAAAGTCTGAGTTTCAAAACGAGTCAACTCTACAACCGTAGCTACTTCAAATCGCGATCCAAAGCAGGCCGCAAATTCCAACTAAATGAAGACGGACCGAATTTCTTCCCACCACATTCAAAATCACGGGTGGTGTCGTACTATATGATCAGATCATATTAGAATATTAGACTAATCAGTTTAACTCGTTGAGTAAACAAACTGTAGAACGGACTGAGGACACATGCGCCGCTAATCTACCGAACCTCAAATACCAGAAGATGCGTACCTAACTTCGTCAGATTTTCAAAGGTTTTAGAGTGCGAATGGAGGTTTATTAAGCATGGAGGAGGCCGATTGTGGTTCATTCAAGTTGTTGTGACTAGAGATAGATGGCTTGTTAACGTGCATTACTCACTAACATTTTACTTACCGGGCGTCCTGCAATTGTGTAATTCTTTTTAAAAGCTCAGAAACCCGGGGAGAATAACTTAGTACAGAGAAAAGGTCATGGAATGTGAAAATCTTGGTAGCACGATTAGCCCACCGTACCATCGTCATGTTTGATATCATATTGAAGTTTCTGTCTGCTGTCTGTTTTAGATATAATATCCTCGCACCTCAAATTTTCCGATGAGTTGCTGAGGACCTCTGCAGAACGAGCTAATGGTAAATTGTCAAACACACACTGCAAATTTCGAGGACAATTCTTCGATGAGGATGAAACCGCTAGTTATTAATATCAAAGGGGATAAGCTTCCCCCTTCCAACTGAGACCACCACCGCCCTCACAGTCCGTGAGGTTGGGTTTGGAAATGACTCCTGTCTTCTGAATGCAAATTTCTCTTGACAAAGACGAGTACAGACTCCGTGCACGAGGATTTCAATCGCATTACAGTCAAGCATGTTTCCGAAGAGGCCATGGACCTAGAAACGTTATTTCTATCTGCGTACCAGTACTTCGGTCGTGACTCTATAGGAAACGCGAAAAAATCGTAAATAGTTTCTGGATAGGCTCAAGGGGCCAACCAAAAATAATTACCTTTCTTTACTGGCTTCGTCATATGAATGCGCCTGTCACCAGTTAAACTGCTTTTCCTTGGGATTTGAATACTTCTTCGCAAGGCTCCACAAAGAGGCATTCAGTATAGACGCAATACACTACTCATAAGGTTGCTGAAGATTCTTCGACAGCCCACCACCGGTTTCGCCCTTTTTGGGGCTCATTAGGTGAGAGCAGTCCCCGAGTTCCCCTCATCACAAGCGAGAGATTCAGCTGGGTTCCAGGTGAGTCTCTCGCAAAGTTTACCGAGTCCACCCCTACTTTTCAGTCCCATTCCTGCACCACATGCGTCCCGCTTCCGATTGTGAGGTCCACCTGGGTCTTACAATGATGAAAATTTCAGGTATAGAGTTTGCTGTTTTCTTCCTGACTTTCTCAGGCGCTTTGTCTTTGCACTAGACTGTGTTGTGCGAAATTTCGAATCAGCGAGCACCCTAAACAACGACATCAACATGCGCTTATGTAGAAGAAAATATGAGCTGTCGTCTTCCAGTCTTCGAACATAGTGCGACCGTGTTACTGTCAAATGACGCCATGGTTAATACACTCCGTACGGGCATACGTACAGCGGATAAGCGCTGATCGCATGTTATCGGTTTGTTGAGCTATGGTATGAGTTCAGCGGTTCTAGTAAACGTGCATTACATTCAGTAAGGCAATGTCTACAACCAGTCGCACGCCGATCACGTAGCTGTAGACGGTCAACCGCAACAGACCGTTGTACTGCATCTCATTGTGAGGGGTAGTAATAATAGAGGCACTCACTCTTGACGTTTCGGCCCTATTAGAGGTTTGAATCAGTGATCCTAAAGATGACAGGCGAACCCACTTCATTTCGGCTCATCGCGTGTGCGAAATTTAATTGATGTCACCAAGTGTACCGCAGCACCCGAACCACTCAGTATACGTCCCGAATTAGCTGTGACAAAATCATCGAATAAACAACCGAACAGTTGGCTACAATGATCGTACTCATCTATGGTTGGGCGTATCCACTCCGACTGAATACTGCTATCAATTAACGGAGTATTCTGGCGTACGGCATGAGCTGTCAAGGATTTCAGATAGAGCCGTATAAAATCGCCAGTGAGTACCGGCCACATGCCTATGAAGTGAAACCATGGGAATAAGCCTGTACACTGCGAGACTCGCTACGGCATTCATTTCTTCATAACGATTGCGAAACCGGATACTGTCTTCAGTCAGCTACTCTTTCCAATAATTCTTGGTCCGCTCCATAAATACCGCTGACTGAATTATCCACTACTGGATGGTTGTGAAAAACCAAACACCAATTCTCGGTTTACTACTTTGTAGGTATGTTGGCAGCTTTAAGTACCTATTTCTGACCACTCCTGCTATGTCCGACTGTTGCAAGCTGCTTGTAAACGTATCCCCCGACCTAAATCTACCACTTAGATGTGGTGGTTGGGCTTGAGTCCTGTAATGCTTCAGCGGGCTACAGTGGCTGGAGCTTCGTTCCACTGGGTACAACCATGTCAGGGAGGCCATAGGAGGGCAGTCAGACCAAGAGTAGCGAGAACTCGTAATTTAAGTAATCATGCTACGAGGCAGTCTGGGGATAAAGTCATACTGCCCTCTGCGGTAGGAGTGTGGTGTTGAGGCGTTTCTCCAAGGCGGCCAGCACATCCATATTTATGGGAGCAGCCACGCTACCTTCCCCCGAGAAAGGACGGTTTGGAAAAGGTCGACCACAAAATCTGCACACTCCGATCACCTAACGGTTGACTGTAACCGCCGATGCACAAATCAATACGATCGATATAACTTTAAAGCCAAGTTTCTCATGTTGCTCAAAAGGCACCAGCCATGAGCAGCCGCATTAGGAGTGAGGCAGTAATGTGCCCTCGGAATGGGCCATCTTTTGCAGCCAAGCAGGTCAGACTATCGAGTCACAGGCTCCTGGAAGGGTCCTCAAAGAAAACCCCATTGCCTCACGAGTCGAACTTGTGACTCAGAGGATAGGGGGTGGGGCCCCGACCAAAAAAACCCTACATTCTCCCACCGATGCCCATCCAGAATCCCTTCCTATCACACAAGCAAACACTTCTGAGTCATGCGACTGTCAGTTACCTGACCGATGTGCCTTATGCAACTCGCTGCCTATTAATAATACGCAAAATAACACCTTACTAAATCCATGAGATGTTTTCAACGTAGGTACCTGCAAAGTCCGTAATTCATGCCCAACAGGCAAACGGACAATGCACGCTGGGGCCTTATACTCCTTTCAAACTGGTGTATGCTGTTTCCGAAATAAGCATACAAGACCCAACACGGTCATGCGTCCCAAAACGTCAAGGGCGAACTCAGCTCTTTCACGTTTCTCCCTCCATGTGTCCGGTGATACAGAAGCTATGACATGTGGAATATATGGCGTGGAAATCGCACCTAGCAACAGAGCTGAATCCGCATTGTCGGATTAGATTCCAGTAAGCAATCGTCCTTGCACCATCCGGTTATCCCGCTCAGTTAACCTCAATGCCTCCCGACATAAAAAACGGTGCCAGCATATGCCCTAACGAACTGCACTTCTGATACTGAAGAGGATACTTTGTATCGAAAGTTTCCGGCCTCATTCATCAAGCAAGGAATACACTGTAAGTCATGCGGATGGTATGATTGCATGGATTGGTCGTCTGACCTCGTTGGAATCACATCTGGGCGGTCGATTCGGAGTCCATGCTCGTCACACAGACAACAGAAAGCGACTCCTTCAGTCGTGTGCTGATCATCAACTGCTTCTGGGTAGCACGAACTTTCAGCGAAACGTCCGCATGGCGTAACCTGACAGCCACCAAATGCAAACCACCCGTGGTTCTAGTTGGACCACGTGACTATCAGCCTGGTAGAGAGCCACAATTCGAGACAGACGTTCCTTCTGAGGCACGATTAAGCAATGGTGCGAGCACATCTGACAGTCAGCTTCCCTTCAGGCCCTCACAAGTCAGCAAGAAGCTTGCCAATCCGTCATTTTCTGGAGACCCGTGTTGCTCAACAGTATCGATCTACCACAACTACCTTCCACAGTGAACCAACACTTTATTGATAGCGAGCAAACAGAATTTAAGCTTTATTCGCCCATCAGAAGTAATAAAGTACGAAATATCCGTGCTGAATCGTGAGAAGGCACCAGGACCGGACGGTCTTCTTCAAAGAAGACGAAGAACCCCTGGTGACTCATCTAACAAAGCATATTGGTGCGATATAGAGCGAAGAGGAAGTGTCCGCAGAATAGGGCATTTCGACAGTTATCCATATCTTCAAACACGGTATATGGACGCCGTGTGGAAACCACCGCGGCATCAGCCTGGTAGCTTTGGAACCGAAAGTTGACCGAATGCAGGGACGGACCCGAGAAAAACAAGCTGGACTGCGTCCTGCA